TACACGAGATAAATTTGCAGAATCATTTATATATATTCATATACATTTTATTTCCGCATTACAGAAAGATCAAAATAGTGACACGAGGATTGAAAGAAAACGTTGGTTTTTTTTAATGCTCACTTTTATTGTCGGAGAGTCATATAATAATATAAGAGTACAAAATGTATCTCTATGCAATACGCATTTTACTTGCATTTAAGTTTAAAATCACGATAGTAGTATACGTAATAGAAATAAAGGAACTCCCTTACTTTAACGTAAATGTTAATTTACTCATTTGATGGTTAATGGTAACATGTAGATAAAATATTAATGAGACATTCTTGTTCAATTATACTCAATGCAAACTAAATATGAGAACCACAGAAAAATTGTTATAAACAGCTCCACGAAATCTAATGTAAGTAAAATGTCAAGAAAGCTACGTGTAATTATTCTTTGACACTTTAATGATGACGTTGAATACACAGTAGCCCCAGTGGCACAGCAGTATGTCTGTGGAATTACAACGCTTGAAACCGGGTTTCGATACCTGTGCTGGGCAGAGCACAGATAGTCCATTGCGAAGCTTTGTGCCTAACTTCAAAACAAACAATAAGCAATAAATAAACTTACTATTCATTTATTTTTTTCTACATTGTTGTGATCGAATACATTTGTTGGAATACGTAGATAAAAACTTTGAAACTATCTATATCCATTCATATTTCCCTTAAACCTAATGTGGGTTTAATACATTTTGGTATATATTATTTTTATCTAGATAGTGTCTTATGCGACACATAGGCTAAACGGTCAGTTCAGACACTTAATGTCTCAGGTATATTCATTTCTCACTCAGAACTGCTCACCAGAGAGAATAACCATTAAACCGCACTCGCCGCCTACGGCTTCTCATCGTCATTAAGGCATCACAGATGAAAGTGTTCAGCGCCATAACGGGGCTCGTAACTTCGACATTCTGAATCACATCTCAACACGCCAGAACTAAAAACGTAAATAAAACAGCAGATCTATGTTTATTTGCACTGATCTCTTTTTAGACTTTATGCAGGTTCGGGATAAACATAATTGAAGAAACATAATCCTCAAGAGAAACACTTTATAAACATTCAGTTTCAAAGTCCAAATAGAAATATACTGATAAAATGCAGTAACTTTCACCGTTTTGTTTCACATTTTATCTAACCCAGTATAATAATTGGGCTAAACGTGTGTGACTACAGTTTGTTTAAGAAATTCAATAGTTTTTAAGCATGCTATTTACTCCATATAGAATGGTAAAGAAATAACAAAATTAGAAAATAACTACTATGTTTCTATATTTTTTAATCTGTACTAGGGGATAAACTCGCGCTTCTCGTACGATGTATATACTAAAATTATTTAACTAATGAAACACTTTTCAGCAAGAAAAATAAAGAAAATTAATATAGACGTATTGAATCCGCGACCTCTGGCATACGAAGCGTGTGCTGTGCCATGCGAGTCAAAGTCCAAATATGTTTTCATATATACAGCATTGTTAAGTGGAAAACTATATATATATGAGAATAATGTGTGTTTTAAATAGATAAAAAGTTTTAAATAATGCTGCCGTTGTATTATGTACATGAACACGAATGAAACAAAATCCTACAAAGCAGAATATGGAGTTGTAAAAACGTGGAATGATTATAAACGAAATATATCTCTGTACCCAACAATTTTTGTATAAAAACCTTGTCTTTTAGTATAATCACATTCTTTGAGATTTTTCTCGATCGAACTCTTGATAAGGCGATGTTATAAAATAGAGAAGTTTTAAAATTAAGGTATCCAGAAGTGTATAACTCAACTGCCTTCGTTTGTCGTTACTTCACATATTTTCATTTTACCTTCTATAATCGTATCAACTCTCTTTCACTCTCTCTCCTTAATTATTAACAAAGCGTCTGGTCGACTATCACCAGTAACGGAATGGTGTTGTATTAATTCCCCTAGCGGGTGAATTCGTTCTTCGCGTACGAAGCGCATTTAAATTCTAGGTCTAATTGTCAATTTTTAGGCGCCTGTTGGAATTTGTATTGAGGTATAAGAGTGTTGTATTATTTATAAGCCACGAAAAAGTAACGAATGAACTTAACGTGTTTCCTTGCATTTTATGTTACTGAAGTAATTGTCTTTAAAGTTGATTTGGCTGGTTTTGTTATGAATTTCGCGCAAAGCTACACGAGGGCTATCTGCGCTAGCCGTCCCTAATTTAGCAGTGTAAGACTAGAGGGAAGGCAGCTAGTCACCACCACCCACCGCCAACTCTGGGGCTACTCTTGTAACAACGAATAGTGGAATTGACCGTCACATTGTAACGCCCCCAC